TCATGCAAAAAAGATCTTAAGGATGCTCATGGAGTAAACTCAAACACACCTTCTTTAGAGTAAAGAGACTGTATAGTCAGTATTGTAATAGTATTTACTGTATGCTAAATGTAATGTAGCAGATGTAATCTTATGAAGCATCGATACTACACAGTTTCCAGGCGATTATATTACTCGTATGTATCATCCATCTCAGTACGTCTAAAAGGCCTTCTGTAAATGTTCTTAGATGTCAGTTAGACACATCATGAATTATCCTTCTATCTTGAGTACTATTAGTAAGTTCTCGTCGCATCTTTTCCTACATAGGAATTAATGATGAAATAATAATATTTAACTAACCAATCAGACCAACAATAGAAAAAACTCGTAAAAACACGTCGAAATTTTAACGAAAATAAAATTATCAAAATGTGTGATTTTTACGATTTCAGTTTTATTCAAAGAAGTTTAATGCATTTTTATGGATTTGATTTTTGAATATAGTGGATCCTTACCGAGAAAATTTATATTCCATAGATTTGGATTGCTTAAAGTATAGATTTGATAAGTCCCTAATTATTTCAATCTTGTTATCATCTCGCAACAAAGGATTTATTAGTTTAATTTTGATCTATTGAAGCCTATATCAAATTTTTAGAATTATTTTGAATATTAAATTCGATATACATTTTAACAGATCAAAATTAAACTAATCAGTCATTTGTTGCAAGATGATAATAAGATTAAATTCTTATAAGAATTTATCTAAATTATTCTTCAAGCAATCCAGACATATGAAATATGATTGTTCTCTCTAGGAATACACTCAATTCAAAAACCAAACGTTTAGTAATATGTAAAGATATACGATAAAAATTGTTCTAAACTACTACACGTTCTATGAAAGTGTGATATATAAAGATTCGTTTCATAGATTTTGGGTCATTTTGAGTTCTACGGTATTTGTAGAATATACAAAGTTGAATAGACAGAAAAACTATATTTGTAACATCTAAGATATCATCCAAAGTTTACTATGCTTCATTGATATTATTATTAAGTACGTTATTGAAAAGTATGCTAAATTTGTTTAACAAATTTATTTTCTACTCTTTTTTATTAAATCTTACTCTTTAACAAATATCTTCTATATCTATTCAACTTTGTATATGCGAAAAATACAGAAAAGAAGTCAAAATGGAGAGGAAACTCATTAATGATATTTAACTATCGCAATTCGTTTCTTTCTTAACTCTGCTGATGTGAACAGAAACACTAAAAAAGTAAGTGACAATACAATTTTGCTCTAATCATCAAATAGAAAGACTAAAGGCTAACATGAAATTAACGGCGCTAGGTCAGATCGTTGCAGGACAAAACGTTATAATATTTTATTATGCTAAATATTTCTCTATCTGAAATCGACTTCTTATAGTATGATCTAAGGTTGTAGGATTTAGAGTATAGGTGCGAATTTAGAGTTTAGAGTAAAAGTGCATGGCTTAGGGTTTGGGTGTGAAATTTAAGTGTTATTGTAGATATAAGTACAGCTGTGGATGTGATTTGAGGACAGCGGCCAATCTCGTGTGAGTTAGGCTGTTTATAACTGTCTGCATTACACTCATTCTCTTAAATACTTACACCCACTCCACGTCTACAGCTACATACGCAAACCAACCTACACTTATTCACCTCACATCCGTAGTCTAAGTCCCACATCTAAACTCTAAACCATGCACCTGCACTCTAAACTCCAAACTCGCACCTACACCCTAAATCCTACACACTTAGATCGTATTTTAAGAAGTCGACTTCAGATATAGAAATATCAAGCATAATGGAATATTGCAACGTTTTGTCCATGCGACGATATGTTCGATCGCTTGAAATGTATCTGTGTTGCCTATGTCAGAGTAAAATATTTCGATCAATGTACTAAAATATTAAAGATCGACTTACATTCAGTCACTCTTTTCGATTGTCGATCTACTAACTATATTAAATCTTAATTGATTATACGGAAAAAATGTCAAGCTATGCATGAATAAAAATAAAAAGTTTATGAAGAAAGAATCAATTACTATAATAAATAAAAGAGAAAAATAACACTGTCATGCAAAGAATAGATGATTGAATGAATGACCCACTCAAACAAATCAGAAAATCAATAGAAATAACAGAGAGATCAACAATATAGAACTGAAGAGAAAAGATGAAGAAATATAAGCTGATCACACAGTGCAGAAAAAAACATGTTAGTTTCTATATCGAAAAAATAATAAAGGCACTTAGTCGTAATATATTAAATCAAGAGGCTCTTCTGTTTTATTTCATCTTTTGAAAAGTAGATTCAAACGAAAAAACTATGAAAAAAAAATTTTTTTTAAACATATGCAGTAAAATAAACGAAGTTAAGTATGCACCATTCAACCGAAATGTTCTTCGCTTTTTTTTTCATTCTATCTCTATGATAAAAACGATTGTTAGCGTAGCTTCTTAGGAGCTGAAATGTAGAACTCACATATATTCTTTAATTTTATTAAACTATTACAAAATACATAAAAAGAAAAATCTCTCATCAACTATAGTTGTTTTTCAAGATAACCAATCACTAGAGTAATGATCGATCTTATTTATTTGAGCATTTTAAACAGAATTTTTTTGCTTTTTTTTAAATGGATGCTCTATTTTTTGTTTGTAGTGTTGGTACTCGCTCGTTATTTTTCATTTTTGTATTTCGTTTTTCTTAATTGAACATTGTTATTTTTATAAGCATTGAATTAAACATCAAACAAGGCTGTTGTACATATCCTTTATTTAAATCCAATTACTAAAGTCTGTACTATGGACGAAGGGAGGAGGAAGCCGTAAAACTTCAATTTAAAACTTACACTCACCATTTTGTTCGAAAATATATGTTAGTTCCACAAAACGGTGATGCAAAAACTTACGAGAAAATATTTCCTTTGTATATATATGCAATAAGGTAAACGTCAGTAATCGTGAGGTATTGAATCTAAACGTCATTCTCTTTTATCATTCTGTCTGTATGAAAAAAAAGTGATACAAAAGCCAACAAGAAATTTTTTTTGTGCATATATGCAATAAGGTAAACGTCGGTAATCGTGAGGTATTGAGCGTAAAGATTCTCTTTTGTCGTTTTATCTGTATGAATAAAACAGAACGATGCAAAAGCCCATGAAAAAATTTTTTTTTTGTGTATATATGCAATAAACTACACGTTAGTAATCGTGACGTATTGGGTTTAAAGGGCTCTTCTCTTTTATCATTCTGTTTGCATGAAAAAAAAACGATGCAAAAGCTTATGATAATTTTTTTTTTGTGTATATATGCAATAAGGTAAACATCGGTAGCGGTGAGGTATTGAATCTAAAGGTTCTTCTCTTTTTTCATTCTCTCTCTGTGTCAAAAAAACATACACGAAATCCAAATAGCCGGAAGAAAACATATTTATTTTTATACATAAAGAGCAAGATAAACTCATCCAAGTGACAGTACTCATCAAGCGAGTACGACTTTCCAGCGTGAGTATTCGTACGAGTTTTTCTTCAAGGATTTATTCATAGGCATATAAGATGTCCCGTAAGTCCTTAGATAAAGAAAAATTTGAATACCTCCATTACAGCTCGACTAAACGGGCTCATTTTTTTTACTAAGGAGTGAGGCATGTTCACACTTCAAATCCATATGGACAAAGATATTGAGAATCTTTGTTAAGTATCATTATTGACCTCGACAAGAAAACTTTACGCTTTCACAGATAGGAAAAAAAACAATATACTTAACAAAGATTCTCAATACCCTTGTCCGTATGAATTTGGAGTGTTGTGAACATGCCTCTCTCCTTGGTAAAAAATGAGCTCATTTGGTTGATTCGTAATGAAAATATTCAAAGTTTTCTTTGTCTAAGGACTTACGGGATATTCTATTTATATGAGTTCTCAATTTGATGCTCATGGTCGTTTTTTTTAGCAGAATATTTACCAAAAGACTTATGCATTAGTACACATAACAATAAATTAAAATTATATAACAAAAGAAAATGATGTACTAAAATGAAAAATAGAGAAAAATTGTTTGAATGAATTATTTATTTTATCTTTATCCTTTTCTGACGACTCATTTATATGACTAAGATGAATGATGACTTGAAGATAGAAAAGAATAATGATTTTTCATTATTTGTTAACTTCTTCGGTGAGATTAAATTTTTTTTAAACACATTAATGTAGATGTAGATTCGCTTTAATTTTGATCTTCTAGACTTAGACAAAAAATCCTCCATTAAAATACAATATTTCAGGTTGATCGTAAAACGCCACGAAACGAACTACAACAAATGATCGCTATTACAAATCGGTTGTGATTTTAAAGTAAGTAGATGTGTGAAAAAAGGTAATGTGTGAAAAGCTCGAAAAAGAAAATCTCGAAAAAAAATCACGAAAAGAATAATTTCGAAAGAGGAAAAGCTCGAAAAATTAAAATTCCGAAAAATCGGTGTTACGAAAAAAGTAAATCTCGAAACGGAAAATTCCGAAATTGGCAAATATCGAAAAAAAATCTCGAATTAGTTGCAATGTAAAATATCGATGTAGCGATGAAGGAATATGTATATTTATAATTAAAATTTTATTTTAAAAGTCGATGACAATGAACTAACAAAATAGAAAAAATAACTAAATTTATGATGAAGAACGATTATTTGCCGACTCCAATCAATAGTGAAAGTCCTTCAAGAAATTCATCAAGTTTTATTTTCTTTTGATTCAATTGTAATTGAAGTGAAGAAATTCGTTGTTGATGAAGAAGAGTTTTCTTGTTTCTGCTCTTCTTTCCACCCGTCATCATCTTTAGCATTTGTTGACGAACAACAACTTCTTCTTTCTTCAAGCAATCAAGTAAGTGCCATATATTTGGATGATATTTAGATACTAGCCGATTGAATCGATGATTCCATCCTAAATGATAAATTCAAGATAAGAAGAAAGAAAAAAAACCTAACCTTCTACGATATTATTTGTTTTCAATTCAACGTCCGAGACATTCCATAAAGTCCATTTCACTTTTGTCATCCAATATCGATTAAAATAATCGATTAATGGTTTTAATGAACGTGGAGCTTCACGTGCAACTTTGTGAAAAGCAAGTTCAAGTTTATCAATTGGAACAAGTGCAAGTGCCATTAGTTTACGTGCACTTGATCGTACACATTCATCGTTACGATAAGCAGAAACCAAACCAAGGTGTTGTATTTGACGATATATTGCATTTACAAAATGAAAATTGCAGCCAATATGACGTGTATTAGGAAACTAAAGATTATAATAAGAACTAATTGAAGAGAATAAAAGCCAACGTACTTCATTTGCAACTGTTTTTACAAGACCAGGCTCGAAATCAGATGTAATCTTTTGTGGCCGAAATTGAAGATCAAGTCGACGAGCATGATTAGCAAGAATTGAGAACAATTCTTTGTATATAATCGCGGTTCGATTACCAAGAAGAGCGATAACACATAAAAAATCTATGTAATTAGATTAGAAGTAAATGGTTAAGTGATATAATAAGAATGACTTACTATGACCGTTTTTTATTCCATGAATGGAATAAACTTGATCGAAATGAGAGGGAGAACAATCGAATGTTCCGTCCATCATAATATGAGAACAAGTAAACAGCGTTTTTAATTGCTCGTCCGTTGCAAAGAGAAGTATTCGATTGTCGACCTCTCCATCATAACGTTGAACGCGATCAGCCAATAAATATCGTTCACCATTATTTGTTGTTTTATATTTTGATGGAATATGAAAGTCAATAGAAGTCGGAAGATTAGGTGTTGTTAGTCGACGAGCCTGATTGAGTGTAGAATCTACAAGGCAAAGATTATTAGATTTATCTAAAACGGAAAAATTTACTTACTAATTTCTCTAGCTGTAGCAGCAGCAGCAAGAGCTGATTTTGAAAGATTTGCTTTTCCAAGTTCTTCGTTATAAATCTGACCGATAGCTGTTGTCTCGTCCTGAACTCGAATCTTAACATTCATCATCAATTTGCGAATCTCAACTCGTTCAGGCACCGGAATATGATTATGATCATGTTTAGTAAATTTAATAAATTGATCATGAGCATCAAGATGAACACCTGCCCAACACATTTTCTCTTCGCATATCCAATATGACACCTTTTCTGTGGATTTGTTTTGTTGGTAAACGTAACCATCGATTGAGAGGAGTCGTTTATTCTTATTACTTAAGATAAATTCAATTTCGGGTGTTTCATTTGGATCAACTTGGGCCATGTTCGTCGTGTATTAAGTTCAAAGTACAATAACGATGTAAATGAAGATACTGTGTACAGATGGATGGTAAATAAAAGAATGAAAGCAGTTCGTCTTATACAGACGACATGTATATCGAAGAAAAAATGGAGGAAAACATTTACATGAACAGAGAATATAAGAATGAGCTGGACGGACGAAAAGAATCAAGAATTTTTGATTGGTATTAACGTTTACGTAAAATTATCGAAGTGACAGCAGAATACGATGACATCTTTCGAGATTTGATTTTCGAAATTTTAATTGTTCGGAATCGTAATTTTTCGACATTTTGCATTTCGAGATTTTACTTTTTCGACATTTCAAATTTCTGGATTTTTAGTTTCGAGATTTTTATTTCGAGATTTTCTTTTATCGAAATTTTATCTTTCGAGATTTTTTTTTCGAGATTTTTCTTTTCGAGCTTTTTTTTTTCGAGGTTTTTACAGCAATTCTGAAAAAAGACTATATACAAATAAATTTATTCTGTATTTATTTGTTTGTAAATTTCCTCATGAATCTAGATAGTTAGAGACTGAAAAATGTCTTTCTAATTTTTCTTGTGTAATAAGAAATACTATACGTTTATTTTCTATCGAATTTCTCATTATTACTGATTAATCTATTATTTTTTCTACTTCATTGTATTTTACTGTCTTTAATTTGTGTTTTATTGTATTCTTCTTCTCTAAAATATAGAAAAAGAAATCTTCATCAGTGGAGACGATAGTTAAATATTTTCTATATTTTGTGTATAATAAAAATACAATTTAATTTCTTTTTGAAATATAAAAAAGAAAAGAATAAATAAAATTGTATTTTCATTATATAAAAATATAGAAAATATTTAACCGTCTTCGCTAATGATGAGGATTTTCATGTCCATATTCTTTGCCTTTGAATATATGAAGCTGATTTCAAATTTATAGTTCTCGTTTTGATCATTTTTCTCAAATTTTCATTGTGTATGCCTGTATTTTTTATTGATATTTTAATATAAAATAAAAACTGATGTAGTGCAATGGCACTGACGAGAAAAAATATGCTTATAAGTATATTGTATAGACCAACAGAGTACACAGATACTAGATAAGAGTACTCAAAAAAACACTCAATATTACACAGCGAGTACTCGATTGTCGTACTCAAATACTCGGATTCTAACACAAGTACGACTGATGAGTACCTTCACTAGGACAGTGAACTAGGATCCAGGACGAAATATAGAGAATCTAACGGGTGTTCCAGAAAGAAGGACTCTCTCAGTATTTTACTGATATCTCCATCAATTCTCATTTGTTTAGGCTTTGTTTTATTTTTAAAAGATTCGTCTTTGGATGCTCTACAAAATAGTGTGTTTTTTATTTATTTAAATGATGTCCATCATTTTCTATGACACGTTTCAAACGAACAGCTTTGTACAACAACATCTTGTCGAAGTTTTTTGACTACACGTTTCAGCTCTTTGATGAGTGTATCTTCTGATGTTACTATCTTCCAGTTGATGGATCGTGCAAATTCGTCCCAAATAGAATAGTCCAATGGATTTAAATCTGGACTATTCGGTGGCCAATGATTTTTATCTATGAACGATGGAAATTTGTCATAACATCACTGTTGTGTTAGGTGATGTACGTAAAGTTTCGCATCGTCCTGTTGAAATGTCCAGTGCTCTCCAAAGGTCTTATTTCCATATTCTAATGCTATTGGTAGAACATGTTGGATATATTCAGCATGATCTACTGTTCTTCGGTCGAACACGACCAAGGATGTCACTCCTTTGGAACAAACACTCAGCCAAATCATGACCTTTTTAGGAAACTTTTGTTTCATTTTGATACCACCTTTTTCGTTTGCTTCAGCACGACTAGCCACTAGAGCCCGTCGGGTCCAAGATTTTTGGATCCGAACCCGGACCCATTTACAATTTGCTACACTGATACCCTGAGCCGGACCTGCTTGTTTAAAAAAGGTTGGATCCGGACCCGGTCGCTTAAATTTTTTGGATCCAAGCACGATGATAAATCAGTTTCGATAACATATTCAAAAAGTCTTTTGTTGCTTTTTTGTATATTTTCTAAATACATTCAATTTTTTTTCTTCATAAAACGAACAAAATTTTGAAAAAATTTACAATACATTGTATGCATCAAAGTTTTCTTCAGATCTGGGCCCGACCCTGACCCGCTCGGGTCCGAGTCCTACTAGCCACCCGAATACGTTGGTTTTGGGAATTGTATATGCCGTCGACAGCGAACATTTTTTCGTTTGAAAATAAAATCCGCTTTGTGTCTTCTTTTCGAAAATTATCAAAGATCCATTTTGCGAATTTTTTTTCGTTTGTAGTTGTGCTTATCGATGAGTTTTGATTTGATTATTGCTTATAGGTAAGGAGTTTCAGATCTTCTTTTAATATACGATGTACATTTGATTTGGATATATCATATTCTTTAGATAAATTTCAAACGGGTACTACCTTGTTTTGGTTGAGTTTGTGCTTGACTTTGTGAATCATTTTACTGGTCCGAGTAAGACGTGGGGCCTTGGACAGTCTTGATAGCTGCATAGAATTGGTGTCATGGATCATCTTGCATCATCTTTTTATAGTATGTAACTCCAAGAAACCATTCAAATTACGAAAGATTTTGGTGGGACTATTACAATCTTCGTACTTACAAAAAACTAGTTTTTGAAAATCTTTACTTTTCATCTTATAACTATATGTTTGAATGAAATACGAATTATAGATTCTTGTAAAGGATAATAAGACGAATCTTTAAAAAAAATTAAGCCTGAACGAATAAGAATTGATGGAGATATCAGTAAAATACTGAGAGAGCCATTCTTTCTGGGACGTTCGTTACGTATACTTGGAAACGACAATAGTTACACCGTATTTCATCATATACGATGGTATTTTGGCGTAGTATTGGCTTGTTAAGAAATTTTTGTCGTTTTTTTTGCTAAATTTATTTTTATTTTTTCAATACAAAGAATACAACTAGCTTTTAGCGATATATGCTCCATCACTATCTATGACTTGTCGCCAACGCTCTGGTAGAGAAAGGATCCCACTTTCGTAAAAGTCCTGCGACTTTTGGTCAAAGAAGTCGAGAAGTCCCATTTCTAGATCGTATTCGTCGTCGAACTTTTTCTCCTTCAGATAGTTAGAAAGAGAACGGAACAAGTGGTAGTCTGTAGGAGCCAAGTCTGGAGAATAAGGTGGATGTGGAACCGTAATCCATCCAAGCTCCAGTAATTTTTCACGAGTTAATTTTGCAACATGAGGTCTGGCATTGTCATGCAAAAAATAAATTTTATCCTGTTTTCCCTGAAGTTTGGCTGCAACTCGGTCTAATTGCTGGCAATAGAAGTCAGCAGTGATAGTGCGATTAGGTGGAAGAAGTTCCCAGTGAATAATTCCTCTTACTCCCCACCAAACGCTCAGCATAATCTTCTTTTGGTTAGAGTCATGTTTGGGCGTTGCTACACCTTTTTGTCCAGCTGCCAGCCACTGCCGCTTACGTGTATGGTTAACATATAACACCCACTTTTCATCGCCAGTAATAAGATTATTAAGCCATCGGTAGTTGCCGTGAGATGTCATTAATTCCATACAAGCATCAACTCTGCGTTGGAGCTGATGCGGTGACAAATCATGTGGTATCCAAACTCCATATTTGCACGTTTTGCCTAATTCGTGCAGATGTGTTGCCACTGTAACATGAGAGCACCCAAGGTGCTCTGCTAAACAACGTGTAGTTAATCTAGGATCATCTTCGATAAGTTCCTTTAAGCGATCGATATCCACCTCGAGTGGTCTTCCAGTATGAGGTAAATCATCGAGTTCAAAGTTACCGTTGTTGAACTGATTGAACCAACGTTGCGTTGTACGAATGGAGAGTGCATTCGTTCCCATCGTATGGCATATGTTACTTGTTGCTTCTCCTGTTTTGTGACCCAGACGAAATTCGTGAAGCAAAAGAAGTCGAAGCTCTCTACGAGATATATGCAATTCTAGTTCGCTATCAGCGTGTTTATCCATAGTTTTATTGTGGTTCGAGAGATATTTACACCGCCTTTATATACCCTTAATATGGAAATTTCCAGAACTTTCTGAACTGTTCTGGGAAAATACGAAAAAAACGACAAAAATTTCTTAACAAGCCAATAAATAGTTCCGTATTAAGATTGTATTTCTCGGTATTGTTTACTGAAAAGTATGACCGTATTCAGCAAAATATGGTGTAAAACAGTAGTCATATACGGACTGGGTAAATGTCTTCTCTGACGTTCGAAAGCGATCGTATTTCTTCGTTTACAATACAAAGAAATACTACTGTAATGTGGAGACACGCAATATGTGAAAACATGATTGTATACAATTAAATATGAAGTATATTTCGTCGTTTCCGTGTGACACAAATTTTGTATACTTCGTCCTAGATCTCAGTTAATTGTGTTTATCGTACTGGATATGTATAAAAGAAATTTCCGCGTTGTTGCTTATTCTTTCTGTTGTTTACAAAGGCTGAGAGTGAAAAAGTTACGTAGTACCACTTCTTTGGCGTTGAAATCTGAAACTTACATATTTCATATAAGCTAGTACATAATTCATTATAAATTTATTTCTTATGTAATGAAATATATTAACACGTTTGGAATAATCAAAGGTTCACACAATAAAAGAGTTTTTTTGAAATTGATCAACACCATTGACAAAATATGAAAATGTCTTTTTTAAATCATTTTTAATATGACTAAATTCTCAATGAATTCTTTAGTAACAAGACTAAATGCAACGTTGATTAGTTCGTGATGAAGAATTCATTTTCGTT